AATAAATAAATAAAATACAAATAATAAAAAAATTAAGATTTAATTGTTTTTCCCCCCAAAAATGATTAAATAATGGGGTAAATATACAATTCAAAAATTTGGAAACAAAAAGCAACAAAGATAACAGCAACTCTTATAAATTAGATTTCATAATACAGTACATTTTCGACAATGTTTCATTAATTAGCTTAGATCTGCATTTATCATTTCTCACTTGTGCTAGTTGATGTTGTGATGTCTGGTATAAAATTTGTAGTTTCTGAAGTCGAGGCTACAAAAGAGAAAATAGTTCATGTTAGAAAGACACCACTTCTGGGCAAAWAAAAAAATCAAAAAACTTTCTAAACAAGAAAGTTTAAGTCATTTTATCTCCATCTTCGTCATGGAGGCAACAGGTCCTGAAGAAAAACCCAGAAACCCTCTCTCCACCAACACTTTCCAGGTTGTCCAGGGGGACCCAGAGGTGTTCCCAGGTCAGAGAGGATACATAATCCCTCCAGCAAGTCCTGGGTCTTCCCCGGGGCCTCCTACCAGTGGGACATGCCCGGAACACCTCTAAATTGAGGCGTCCAGGAGGCATCCTAATCAGGTGCCCAGACCACCTCAATTGACTCCTTTCAATGTGGAGGAGCAGTGGCTCTGCTCCGTGCTCCCCCTAGATGATGGAGCTCCTCACCCTGTTTCTAAGGTTGAGTCCAGCCACCCTAAGGAGGAAGCTCATTTCGGCTCATCCTTTCGGTCGTGACCCAGGCCTCATGATCACAGGTGAGGGTCGGAACGTACGTATACCGACCACTGAGCTTTTGACTCAGTTCTTTCTTCACTATGACCAACCGAAGCAACGCCCTCAATACTGAGGACTAGGTCCCAATCTGTCAATCCATCTCCCGCTCCATCCTACCGTTACTCCTGAACAAGACACCCAGATACTTAAACTCCTCTTGAGGCAGAGACTCCCCCGAGTCTGGAGGGTGCATTCTTCCCTTTTAAATCATTTTTATAAACATAAAATTATGGATTTTTTTTTCTTTGGGCAAATGATTGAAGTAGAAAGTAAGACTCATAAATTTGGAAACAAACTGCAACAATGTTGACAGCAACTCCTATAAAATTGATTGAACATTTTCCACAATGAATCATAAGGTAGCTAAGATCTGCATTTATTATTGCTCACCTGTGCTGAATGATGTAGCTCCTGGTGTAAAAGTGGCTGCAGTTGTTACATTCCCATCTGTCAAGAAAATAATTACCGTTAGAAAGACAATACTTCTAAAAATATATAAAGATGGAAATTGTTTCTAAAATAGTAAGTCTAAATCATTTTATAATCACAAATTATCTTAGATCTGCGTTTATTATTGCTCACCTGTGACCAAATTGACCAAAATATAATCTTGGTCAATGTTGAAGTATGTGTTGTTAGAAGCTGCTTCGAGCAGAATGCTTCTTATCTGAGTTACATTTGGAACAGATGTATTTGCAAAATATAAGTCCACGACATTGATGATTGACCCATTCCTGCAAATACATTAAATACCTCCTGTCATTTACAAAAATTTATTATCAAAATTTTATTAGTGCAACATAAAGACCTTACATGAAAGAGACTGGCTTCAGAAAACTGAATGAATTAAATCGTCGGGTGTAGTATGGTTCAAGCTGTAGGAAGACAAAGTGAACAACAACAAAAAAAAAAAGCAAATGAATGAATACAAATTTATATAAACAACAGGTATAGTAAATGCTACATTTTGAAGTCTTGTGCTTTGAAAAGTTGCTATTTTGCAACATACTTACACTAGATTGTATAAGCCTTGATCGATTTTGAAATGCCATAGATGACTGATTCGCCAAACCACTGATGAATGTCTCTCCCAGAGACCTAAAAGTTAGCCGAGCTATGCTTGTTACCTTAGTGGTTGATGTCAAAACAGCTGAGGCAGTCATTACATCAGGTGTGTATGTTGGCAGATTTGTGGTAGCGATGGAGTCATTTTTTGTGGTTGTATTCAGAACATATGTACTGTTTGTTGGTGCAAATGTGGGAGCAAAAGTCATATTAAATGTTGGTGCAATGACTGCTGTTGGAGTAACTCTGGTCACATTTAGGGCAGTTGGGTTTGTTTGTACAGTAGGAGCAAAAGTTGTATTTATTTTAGTTGCTGTGACTGATGGAGTAACTGTGGTTGCCTTTGGAGCAGTTGTGGTCGATGGAAATGGAGAGGTGGTTGTTGATTGATCAAAAATCCTTGTAGCAACTATGGTTGCTGTTTGAGCAGGAATGGTAATTAATGTAGCATCTGAAGTGGTTGTTAGGTTGACTGAGGCTGTTTTTGTATTATCTGTGGTTGCTGAAGCAGCTGTGGTTGTTGTTGGAGGGTTTATGGTGGATGATGGTGTAATTGTTGTTAGAGAGGTTGTGGTTGTTGTTGACATAGTTGTTGGAGGGGTTGTGGTTGTTGTTGACATAGTTGTTGGAGGGGTTGTGGTTGTTGTTGACATAGTTGTTGGAGGGGTTGTGGTTGTTGTTGTTGATGCAGTTGTTGGAGGG